CTATTTATCTAAAGTTGGAGAAGTATAACAAAGCATTTATTGCTTATAAAAATGGTAAATTTTATAAAGAAGTAAATACTTTGGTGCAAAGGTAAGCACATTTCTAAAGTATTTAAGTTGCATATATATATTACCAAATCATGGTTTATTGAAAAATGTGATGTGCCACTTGGAAATTTTTTATGTAAACTTCACATATAATTATATATAAATTTATGGGGTTGTAAATTTTATAATCTGACATTTGTTTAAATTATTTTAACAAGATACAGGCAAAAAATAAAAATAATGAGATGCGGGGATTTTACATATTGTTTTATACCTTAATGATAGAAAATTCAGAGAAGACCAGCCCACAATCAAAGTTCTTTCTATAATAATCATTGAAATGACACCAATATTTTTTTGCAAAGAGTCTGTAGTCTACAAAATGTTTCCATGATGCATTGTCATCTGTATCAAAATTTGGTTTTTTGGTTGGATTTGGTAGATTAATGTCATAAGTTTTCAGAAGCATATCAATCAATGTTTTGTAGGTAATTATCAATGGGAAATGGCCTTTTGTCAGTTGACGAAATGAGTTTGGAGTATAATCCACAATATTTCCCTTTCCCCGTTTTGTCACATTTTTCACATCAATATTACTACAACCTTTTCTATTTACGCTCTCATAAAATTGAGCCATAGACATTTTTTCATTAGTAAGTTTTGCTGACCCTTGCAGTTTGTTGAAATATTCTTTTACTCTACAGCACAGGTTTTCACTCAATGTAATGAATATTTGCCTTTTGTGAGAATTAGCATTGTTGTCATTTGAAGATGGCATCTCATTGAGTTGACTAGTCAGATATGAACCAAGAAGTCTGAACATAATACATGTGGTTTTTCCAGTTCCTGGGTATCAAATAGAACAAATAATGTTAACTTTTTCCCAAATATAAGAACACACCTATACCAACAATACTAACCAGAACGACCAATGACAATTGCTGATGAAGGATGGTTAATAATTTCATACTCAAGCTTAGATACCTGAAAGGTAAAATCGGTACCACCCCTGACAAGTGACCTAAATAAGTTCTGGAAGCAAAAATTATATATTAATATGTAACTCCAGTTAAAATGCGTTCTGTTTAAATCTTTAATTGTCTATATTCATACTCTACCTTTGATAATGGTACAAATTTATTTGTGGCAAGCATTTCATGAACCTTTAACAAATTTTCATCATCTGTTTGGTTCCACCTCAATCTGCTCTGGGTAGACCTTGTTGCTTCTTCATCTCCAAAGGATGGTAAAATGATATTACCTTTGCCAATCTGTTGTTGCAATGTGCACCGGTATTTATGTTCAGGAGTGTAGACTTGATGAAGTAATGAAACATTTTCTAATATTTCGTTGATTTGCTCTTGGTTTACAGTGACTGTCCAAATCGCCACATGTTGCATGAGTGAATTTTTACGAATAGAGAATCCATAATCGACCTGCCAGAGAATCTTCAAGCCACCATAATCTGGAAGTTCCACCTCATAAATAGGTACAATGCAAGATTGTACAGTATGTTGCAATCCATACTTATTCCATTTTCCGCTTGACATTTGCATTAGTTTCTCCATAACTGCTTTGATTGCAAGGGGCTCTAATTTTCTCATATCTGCAATTGCATCATTACTGAGCAAAACATCCCACGGACCAAGCTCATCATCATTTGATTCAAATGGTAGGCGAAAAAGTCTTTCATTCATTATTTCAATTTTTTTTCTTCCTCGCTGCTAATCTTATGTTTTTTCGAGGATTTATGATTACTGTTGTTCTTTTTATACACTTTTAATAAGAAAATAAAATGAAATGAAATTTTTATTTACAAGTAAAACTAGTAAGAGGTATAATATATATTACGCTACTCATTAAATTTCCGCTTATGATTATCCTGTAATCATGAATTGCTGGAAAAAAACGACAAAGAATTTTTTGTAGAGTAATATGTAAGAGAAAATATTTTGAATAATATATTATCAAAAAAAAAAAAAAACAGAATGGCAATTTTTTTCGATGGCTCGTGGGAAAAACAATAATAAAAAGATTGCGATAATGTTTGGAAGGAATCGGTAATCGTGTCATTGTTGCTAAATAAAGAATGATTTTCAAAGAAGGGTTCTACACCTGAAGACCTTTTAAAGTTTAATCTATTTTGAAACTATAGTGTAATGACAAAATTGCAAAATGCTAATAATGAATTATTTTAAAATAAATTTTGAAATTAATTAAAAATTTTTTCGCTTGAAAATTTTTCTTATAATAATTATTTTCCTCTTTTTGTCGTCAGTGATTAACTCTTTAAAGGTGACAAGTCATTTTTTTCAAAGAGAGAGACTGTTTATTATATTTATCTGTATTGGACGGCCAATCTTGAAATTAACATTAATATGTATACGCATTCTTCAAATTTTTAATTAATGCCAATAGCTAAAACGTTGATATGATTCAAATTTACAATTATTACTATCCAGAATATTTTAAATATCCATTATTACAGAGCATGATTTGAATCTTAGTCTGAAATTCACATTGAAAATTAAAACACAAAATTAATGTACCATTAACACTTTATTATCAAAAGGGTGATGATGTACATCCTCCATACTCGAGTCTCGTTTTTATTAAAATCATGATTCAAAGGATAAGTTCTGATTAAAAATTCATGACTGAGCGAGCTATTTTGTACCAATCAACAATTGGTTGTGTGTGTTTTTCAAGAATATAAATTCATTATTCAAATGTACAAGTGGTATTTGATAACTCAATGAAATTTGTTGAGCATAATAATTTTCCAATCAAAAAAGAACATTTCCAGTTTTAAGTCAAACATTCTTTAGATGGTTCACCTTCAAATTTTTCTTTTTTCTTGTTAAAGAAATAATGACCTATAATCATTACCAGTTCCATGCCAATTCTTATAATAAGAATAATTGTCTACTTGAATTATGAATGGTAGAAATAGCAATATTTTAATCTTTGAAACCAAACTCATATACCCGGAGAATTTGATCCTAGTTTTAAAGATAAAGATATTAATACTTTAGTTGAAGTTGCTTCTATGTGTTCTGATTCACAAACATATCTGATAGTTGACGTAAAGTAAAAACTCTGCCATTTATCTAAGTTAAAATGTTCATGCCTAAATGAATAGGTTCATAGTGAATGTGAAACTTTTTTATATTGCAAAATGAATTTTATATATGCGAAAATTTATATTAATGAATAGAGCATATAAAAATAAAATTTAACAATATATTTTTTTATTATCTATAATCAAAAGTTGGTTAATAGCTGATGTCCCGTCCTACAAGGCAGACAGATACAGATATATGACATTTAATTTGTAAATGATATTTTATCACTGTGGGTAGATAAATTTCAGGATATTTGTGTTTTATGAAATTATTATATCCAACTATGGTGAAGTTGTTTATTAAACAATCCGTTGAAGAATGATAGTGGAGTTCAAAAATACTATATATAACAAAAAATTTCAAAAATAAGTTTTATGACTAAAAATTGATTGTTCAAATTTCGCATAACAGATTTTTTTTAATACTTGTTTATTTTCAATTAAAAATTAAAAATAAGTCAAATTTTGAAAACAAATAGCTGAAAGAAAAGAATTTAATAACCGTTCAGATTAATTTCTTGCAAAACAAATTTTCAAATTACTGTCCGAGTTGAACACGGAAAAATTATCGATTTAAAAAAGGCCAACTATTCTTAATGATATTTTCAAAAAAAATAAAACCGTTGCAGCTATTAGAATTGGTAAACCTAAAAAATTTTCAGGCCGTGATTATAAAAGCAGTAAGAAAAGACCCAAAACAACTGTTGATGAATTAACCAAATATCTTAAAGAATTAAATATTGTGATAAGTGAAAAGACCACCAGGCGAACTTTACATGCCAAAAATATTTATGGTAGGAAGGCTGTAAAGAAGCCTTTAATATCCGAAACAAATAGGAAAAAAAATGCCGTTCATGTAAGAAAAAATCAGAGACAAGCAAGGTCTTGTAAATAAATCAAGATTGAAAATAAGTAAATAAAGGAACTTTATAGGAGCTTTTGAACTTTGTAAAATGGCCATATTCATAATTATTCTGTACCATTACAGATTGGTCAAAATTTTCTAGGTATATACAAGAAAGAGGTATTAAGCAAACCACCAAGACCGTCTAGAAGACTACCAAGGAGAACTAGACTGCACTAAATTCGCCCAAAAAAATCTCGACCACGAATTCCGGAAGTACGTGTAAAAATCAAGCCATCCTTGACTGTTGATTAAAAAGCTTGTTTTGCACTACAAGGTTGGAAAGGGATTTTGATATTCTTTTGACAAATCCTTTTGAAATGGTGTTCAAATTCTAAAGCTCCCATATTCTATTATATAACGGAATGAAATGTTTAATGTAATAAATACTTTACATTTCTTTTTGAAATATTCCAAAACTCAAAACAAATTAAAATCTTTATTTATAAAAAAAAAATCAAATCAAAATTCTGAAAATAAATAGCTGAAAGAAAGAAAAAATGGAAACTTATTAAAGTTCAGATTTCATTACGCCTTTGCACTCATCAAGCCATTTATAAACCTGATTAATTATATTGTCCACCTCTTGTAATTTATTTTCTAACCATTCGACATCTTCTTGTTTGGATTCCTTTACATCCCAAGTTGGTGACAATGAATTCAATGTTTGTTTAACATTTTCATAATGGATAAACCTAAAATAAAATATTTAATGAGTTTAAATGGTAAAAAAAAACCATTAAAGAAGCAAGCACTAAAATAGTGACGACAAACTTAAGTTCTTCCAACAGGTCAACACATTCTTCAACTATATCCATATCAAGAGAATTATTAATTATTTTATGCAACTTGACTTTGGTTTCATCCATTTTGTACTGCATTTCATTTAGCTTCATAATTGAATCCGCAATTGAACCTCTTCCTTCATTCTCTTTTGAAATATACTGGTGCCAAATATTATCAAAAACAACAGCAATAGGTGGTGATATGATTTGTTGAAAAGCAGAATCAAATTCCTCAATAGAAGAGTATGTAAGTTTTACAATGCCATGGCTCTCATATTTGGAAAATTTTGAAATTCCACCCCAATTATAATGGACAATAACTAGAGAGTCAAAGCCATTTTCTTCTAAGTCTTCATTCAAAACTTTCATAAGGTGAAAAAGTGACATTGCTATAGAATTATTTAAATATTAAAAAAAGTGTTATATATTTGTGTTATATATGGGGCATACTGCAACAAAACCAGACAAAGTGAACATTGGTATTACCAAGAATTTCAGGGATCAAGATTTAGTCATTTGTAATGTGATCATAATTAACAGTTTACAATATCCCATTTGTTATCTTAAGTGATATATAGACTTACCTCTATATAAAAATAGTTAATATGAAA